CCCCCCCCCCCCCAGCCAATTCCTTCCACAGCACTGTCTCTGTCTCCAGGTTAGCACTTGGCATATTTTAGCAAGTTTAGCAAGGTGTCTTGTGTGTGTGAGCATGTGTGTGTGTGTGCATGTGTGCACGCGCATACCATTGCCTTTCTTGTCTCCTTTCAAATTGTCTCCTTTCAAAGTTGACAGCAGGGCCTGTGCCATATTCGCACTGATGTTCCTTCGCCTTCAAAGAACGCGCCGCGGTGACCCACACATAGGAAGCACTAGGAACTTTATTGAATGAATGATCAGAGAGAGGAACGCCTGGGAGGAGGCTGGAAGACACCAAAAGGGAGAGGATCTGGGAGCACTGTGACTACCAGCCAAGGGAGTGGCGATGACAGAGTTATGGGCGAGTCAGCCGAGGGACTGCAGTTCACTGGGGAACAGGGGGCTGACACTAAGAGCGTGTGGGACTAGGGAGGTGGGAGACTTGGGAGAGACAGACGCCTGGTCTCTCCCTCTCTCTTGTTCACTTCTCCCATCAGCTCACTCGTGAATCAGTGGGCAGGTGCTTTGCTTTATCTGAATTCGATACCTAGACAATCCACCAGCCACAGTGTCCTTACCATAGTGTAAAGTAGTTTCCTTATTTGGGAAAGCTGAGAGGACAAATATTTGTCTTGGGAAACTATCAAGCGGACGGATTTAGGAGAACGACCTACTGGTCGGCCTCAGTAACTCAATTCTTTTTATTGCCATTTGGCCTCCCAGGCTCCTCTCTCTCCAGGTTTTCAGCCCTTCCTGATTGCAAATATCAGTGTGTTTTGAAGATGGTCGGGCAGAAAGCCACCCCTGAATTCTTTGTTTTCTTTGCATATCTCCCATCTGCTTGAAGACACACACCTTAGCACACATCACATTTGTCCATGTTCTCTGGCCCCACTGAGCCAGTCTGTTTGCCTTGGTGCTCAGTGTTCTGAATGGGGACACTATACACTGGCCTGTGTGAGGGGAGGGACTTGGTCTGAACTCATTAAACCCGAGCCAGCATCATAGTGTCTGGTTTACACAGGCTTCATTAAAGAGTGGTTGAATAAATATACAAGGTAGGGCAAAAGTAGGCTTATAGTTGTATCGACTTTTGAATACAATAATTAATAAATACATGACATACAAGAATAAACTTTGAGTTTCACGTGCAAGCACGAAGGAAGAAATAATAAAAAAAATTATGACTTCACTTTAACTTGCTTGGAATTACTCAGCATCACTTACCTTTGGTTTCTGACTAACTGCAGCCTTTTGAGAATTATCAAAGACTTTGTCTGGGAAGTTATGATTCTTTTAAATAATAGGCAAAAATGTAATTTCATAAAGATTTAATGAGACAATATCATTGCTGGCTAGTTTTATCACTCAGGGAATTTAATAAAAAAAATTGTTAACGTTGTCTTGACTTTGTTTAAATATTTATGAACACTGCTTTCAAGAGAATTCATATCTGGGGTTATTGTTTTATATAATTCACCTTGGTGTGGTTTCAACAGTTTGCTGTCTCATCTTGTTTTAATCGATGTTGCTAGAACTGCTTGTAAATACTCTGGCATCTGAGTGGTAGTGTCTTTGGATCTTGTTTCTGTGTGTTCCACCTTCCAGGGCCCCCAGATTAAATCAAAGAGTCTCCCAAAGGGTTTTGGCACATGCTGGTCAGCTGTCCTGGTCACAGCTCGTCGTCTTCTGATATGGAATCCAGATAATCTGTGTCAACGTACAGGAGAAACCCGGAGAACAAGCTGTCCGCCCAGCCTGGGTCCGAGAAGAGGCCGTTCTGGTCAGTGAAAAAGATCTCCAGCCAGACTTCATCTTCTGGCTGTAGATAGATGACCGTGGACCCAGAAGCCACGTCGTGGTTCCCTGTGTTGGCGTCGAAGGTCTTTATCCGGTACTGCCCATTGTGTACCAGCCCGATCGCCAGGTGCTTGTTTGCCAATGTGATATCATAAGAAAAGTAATAGATCCCTGGGAAGGCGCAGATGAACTTCCCCGTGGCAGGGTTGTAGTGCTCTCCCTCATTGAAGAGGACCTTGTTGAATATAATCGGTAGCCTTTCTTCTGGGTAGCTGGTTGTGATGCCAACAGAAAAGGCAGATTTGAGCACGATGCTTCCACATCTACAAACTCCAGGCAGCCCTGGGTCTCCTTGTTCTCCTCTGTCTCCCTTCTGTCCAGGAGGCCCAGCTGGACCAACTTCTCCTTTCTCTCCCTCTGGTCCCATGGGTCCTTTCTTTCCAGTTTCTCCTCGGTCCCCTTTCTCTCCAGCAAGGCCCAGTGGTCCAGTCTTACCTTTCAAGCCTTTAAGAGAGAGTTTGCAGTTTAATGAACAGCTCTTCTAAATACAGAGTGACTAACAGCCCACATAGTCCCAGCATGCCCAAAATTTGTCTTTTCAGACAACTTTCAACTGTGTACTACTAAACAATGAATCTTTTACGTAAACACTGATACACTAAAATATGGAAATAGAAAATTTTCATCAGAATTTCAAGTAAATTTTCCAGAGTATGTGAGAAATCATTTAATCCTGACTAATTTAAAATAATTAACTATCATTCTGACGATGGATCTCCTGTCACTAAATTAGTTACAAACAGGTAGTCATTCCTACAGAAAGAACTGAAGGGGAGTGATGTTGGTATCATTCCCCAGAGTGGGGTCATGGGAGCAGACAGAACCAGGCGTGTCCTTAGAGGCTGTTTAATCTCATGCCCCATTTTTTTTTTTTTTTAAATCCTCACCAGAGGATATTTTTTCCATTGATTTTTAGAGAGGGGGGAAAGGAGGGAAGAGGGGAATAGAGAGAGAGAAAGAGAGAAACATAGACATGAGAGACACATCGATTGGTTGCCTCTGGCATGTACATGCCCTCGAAGGGAATTGAACCTGAGACCCTTCGGTCCAAGGGTCAGCTCTCTAACCACTGAATCAAACTGGCCAGGGCTCATGCCTCATTCTACTATTAGTTTTAATAATAAAAGAATTAATCAAAATGAGATTAGCTCATACTTATTGAATATTTACTATGTACCGGGAACAGCATTTTATTTACGTACATTACCTTCTTTAAGTTTTGCAACTAGGAATTATTATTACTTCCATTGTAGATGAAGAAACTGAGCCATGGAGAAGTTCTTTGCTCAAGGAGACAGAGCTAGTGAGGAATGGAGCTGTGATCTGAACTCGCGTCTGCCTGACTCTGGAGCCTGGGCATTTCTGGGCAGTGGCTACAGTGTAAATTGGAAAGGGCTCCTGGCACCTCGTGAGGGCTCAATATGCTCCGATATCCCAATAACAGTGACTGTTACCACTGAGCAGTCAGTCTTTTTTGGAGGAGAAAACTGAGCCCTGGAGAGGTGGAGCAAGGCCAGGACTGGAATCCAAGTCTCAGCTAATGATGCTTTCCCGTCATCAAAATCTCTCTCACCTTTGGGGCTGGAATCAAGAATCCTAAATTCTGTCTGGCTCTGCAGCTAAGTAGGCTGTATCATTTTTGGCAAGTCCCTTAATTTCTCTGGGTCTCCTTACATACAGAAAAGACATAATAGCTGTGAAAAGATTTCAACAAATTCAAAATCACCATAGTGGAATATTTTCTGTTTGTCCAATTTTTTATGTCTACAGATCAACCATAGGCTAAATGCAGAGAAATAGTGATAGTGGCTCAAAAGCAATAAACAACATCTATTTAATTTTTAAATCAACTGTGTAACAGCAATGACTTAGTAGCATAAAAAAGGTCATTCAATTTCATGGCCAAATCCATTCCGTAAATAGTGCCTGTGTAATGGTACATTCTCAAAAATCTCCAAGTTATTGGTCATTTGTAATGTACTTTTGTAGTCAGGGAAAATATATTGTTGATATATGGTGCAGTTTATTCTCAGAAACTTTTATTAAGCAAAGCCTTTTTACCTTGACAGTGCTTTGATATCATCTGTTTGAATATATTACATGTGCATTGGTGTATGAGTTTGATAATTTTTCATTTATTTGGCAAATTTAGCAATAGAATGCTCTGGATAATGTACATTAGAAAAGAATTAGAGCTTTATTCTTAAAACATCAATTGTTTTTTTCTATAATTTTGGAAAGACACTGTTTGACAATTAATGCTGCATAAAAGATGCTAGTAATGAAAGCAAATATTTTTTGGCAACTAAGATCAGCATTATTACTGCTTATAGAACTGTTCTCTAGCTGTAGATGACATTTGCTCTTTTCTTTCTTTTTAAAAATTCTCACCCAAGGATATGATTTTATTGATTTTAGAGAGGAAGGGGGAGAGAAAAACATTGATGCGAGAGAGACACATCTATCAGTGGCCTCCTGTATGCACCCTGGTAGGGAATCAAACCTGCCACCTTTGGGTGCACGGGACAGCACTCCAACAAACTGAGCCACACCAGCCAGGGTGACATTTGTTCTTAAACTGAAATTCCACTGACTCCAGCCAGAGCACAATCTGGTATTTATTTCTTGAAATAAGGTGATAATAGTTTGACTTCTTAATGATTGCTTTTTTTTTTTTTTTGTAGAAATACAATATAAATATCATTTTGCTAATAAGTTAATTGTTGAATCAAAGTCAACAACTTCTAAATCGTCATTTTATCTTCAATAGGAGCTTAACTTTTGCTGTCTTCACCGGTTGACTTTTGATGCATCAATTAAAAAAAAGACATTTGGCATCAGTAATAATTTGACCATTAAGTTTCATTATGTACTCAAATCCCTTTGCCTCTGTGACTTTGGGAAAGTCAATTCTTGTCTGAATTTCAACTGCCCCATTTGTACTATGAAGAAATTGGATCCAAATCTACTCCAAATCTGGTGGGAAAAGCAGTAAACAGTGACTCAGCAGGCCAGGGATAAGAGCCTCGTCCAGCCAGGCGTGAGGAGGATCTGACAGAGGGGCTTCATCTCTCCGGCTTCAGTCTCCCAGAACTGAAAATTCTTTGAGATCGAAGCATAAGTACTAAGGTGCAATTTTACAATGTGAAGGTCTTCACAATTTCAGCGTTTGGATTTCCTGTAGCTGTTTACTGTTCTCCCTGCTGGGAGTTAGGTAATCGGGGACTAGCTGTAATAATTTAGTGAGTCTCCCTGCTGGGAGTTAGATAATCGGGGACTAGCTGTAATAATTTACAGCGAGTCTTCCTGTTTGTGTTGCAGATTTTCCCTGTGCTAAGGACTCATGAATAAAGAATAGAAAGAAGGGACAGATCATTCTCTCTCCCCACTCAGTCAGAAATATGACTGTGTAGAGAGAATTAGGGAGAAAATATTATCTATGCTTAAGTACTGAAGCTTGGAGAGAAAGTATTTCTTCTTAACTCCCCATGAGATGGGCTTACAAAGATATTTTTTCAGTGCCATTTCTTTCTTGCATCCCACTCACCCATGGGAGGACTTACGAATGCCTGCATGCACCTGGACCATCTAATGTTGACTGACCATCGCCACAGGCCAGGCACTGTACTAGGGGCTAAGTGAGACCTTGACATGAATGACACCTTGCCCCGCCTTCGAGTTGGCTGTCATCGTGTATTAGACTGTCATCTGCAAATACGGGTCTTAGCTAAGTTCATAAGTATCCAAAGCCATAGAATAAACCAGCATTATCTACTTCATGAGGGGCCTCTAGTGTTATGTGAAGATATTCATTCGGATGTGTATTCAGATTAAATTAAATGTTAATAATATGACACAACAGTAATTGCCATAGACCAGTAAAGGAGACACATATTTTAACAGAAAATGTATAATTCAGTATAATAAGTTCTGTACTTGTAATTTGGGAAAGTGGGCAAAAGTCATGCTTGATCCTGCGTGCACTCGGTAGGGGTAATTGTGGCAAAGAAGACCTTCGTGGGGTAGCAAAAGTGGGAGGAGGGAAGAGAAGCTGCCAGCTCCGTTGTGTCCTGCTCCGGCCACGTTGAAAGCATGTCCCCAGAGCCCCAGGGCCTGTTCCTGCAGTGTGTCCGTGAGGTGTGCTTCCCTTCACCCATCACAAGGCATCTCTACTTTTCTTTCCTTACTGGCATATATCCTTACGTATGTGGATGTGGATATTGATGTAAACAATCTCAGGTTGGGAAAGTCATTTTAGTTTTAAATCTCCATTTTTTTTCATTTGTGACATTGTTATTGCTGATTATAATAATTGCCAATAGGGTTACAGTGGACAATGAGTATTAGTGTAAAATTTCTGATCATAGGTGTAGTGAGTTCTTAATAAATGGCTATGATGATGACATACAGGGTGGGGCAAAAGTAGGTCTACAGTTGTTTGTATGGAAAAGAATGCAATAATTAATAAATTATACTACAAGAATAAACTGTGTTTTGCATACTCACAACTGTAGACCTACTTTTGCCCCACCCTGTATTGTGACTGTATTTTTCTGGCTTGGCCTCCCCCACCCAGTGCTTGCTTATGAAGGCAAGGCCAGGCCTTATTCAGGCTTGTGTTCTCAGGATCTAGAACCAGGTTCTCAACCAGAAGCAATTTTGCATCGCCCACCGAGGGAGAGTTGGCAACATCTGGAGACGTTTCTGGTTATCACAATAGGCAGGTTGTCACTGGTATGTAGTGGGACACTGCTGAACGCCTCACAATGCACAGGATGGTCATCCCACAGTAGATAAGTTTTCAGCCCAAAAGGTCATCAGTGTGGAGGTTGTGAAACACTGGTCTAGAACAATCCTGGTAGCCATAGGTGTGCAAAAAGCTTATGGAATGAATTATACACCAGTTGGATGGGTGAGTAAGTGGGTTGATGGGCACGGGGTGTAGCTGGCCTCATACGTGGTTGAAATTGTAGCAATCATGAACATTTGATGTAATCTGAATGCACACCCATAAACACATCCTTAAATAACCCTAGAACTAGCTTGTAAAACAGAGCACTCATTTCTAGTTCATTATGTAGCTTTGGATATTCACGAACTTAGCCATGACTCACATTTGCAGATCACAATGCCATGGTAAGAGCAGCTAGCTTTTACTGAATGCTTAGCACATGGCGCTCATTCTAGTGCATGTTTTACATGTATTATTGTCCTTAATCTTCACAACCACCCTTACTACCCCCTGTTTACAAATGAGGACACTGAGACTCAAAGAGGCTATTTGCCCAATGATACTAAGTAGTAATGGAAGGAGCCAAGATTTCAGCCTAAGTCTTTCTGACTCCAATGCATGTTAGTTTAATCACTATATCATTGCTCCCAGGCCTAGCAAACGAACAGGGTTGGCAAGACCTAACTATGACCCTCGTGTTGCGATGGTATCTCAAGGCCATTCACGATCATGACACAGCCGTACGTTGTGTTCACAGGTACTGCTTATAGAAGGATCTGAAAGGTAAGATTTAAGCTCCAACGAATGGTTTTTTACCTGATGTTGAACTTCCACCTAAAGATTCTTTATCTAATGTTGAACAGCATTCATGCATTTGGTAGCTACTGATTTGCCAAGTATTTTCAGCATGGCAAATTCAGAACTGAATTATTAGCCAATAATTTGCATATATATATTGTTTCATATACTAGCACTAAATGAGGTGCAATGACTAGAGAGATTCACATTTCTTACATCTCTTGACATTGTCTGCCTATCTTTTGTCCCAATTTTTACATTCAGACACGTGTTTTTGAAGATTGATTCTAAATCACTCCCTTTCAGGGTTAACACCGCCTCTCTAGAATTTTAATCTGTTTTACTCCGAAGGGTCACAGAATCTGGCAAGCTTCCCGGGCCAACTTGTTGTGGGAAACAAGTGAAAATTACTGAAAGGCTGGGGGGCGTTGTGTTGCTGTAAAGAGCAACATGAAATCTAGTTTTTCTAGCTTTTACGGGACAGGTGTGAGAGTGGGAACCAGGAAAGGAGGCTACACAGTACTATTGCCATTTCATCTTTGAAGGAGAAAACCTAGAGCCCCTTTTTGTGTCTTTGTTCAGGATTAGTGCAGAACAGGATGCTTTGGGCTCCTAATTCTGCCTCCGCTTCATCTCCCCCCGTCCACCCGTCTGTCCATCCATCGCGCCCTCCCGCGGGCAGCCACTGCCTGCCGATGGCCCAGCCCGGGGCGCACTGGCATCCGAGCTGGACCCAGCTCTGCCTGTCACTAGCAGCGCCCGGCCTCGGCGGTAACTCATTTGGTCCTGGCGCCGCTCAGTGTCCCCATCTGTGAAGCGCGATCGCTTCCACCTGGAGGGCTTGTTGTTTCAATAAAACGAGAGCCCACGAGCAGAGTCAGAGCAGCGCCTGAAGCAGTCCAGGTGCAGTCAGTCCTTATGATCGAGGAGGGTGAACAGGGGAGGGCCTCAAGGGACAGTTCCCGCAGGAAAAGCCGCAAGGAAAGGGAGTTTCAGGTGGAGGGAAGGAGGGGGTACGGAACCCCGTCGTTCGTTACCTGCAGCCCCCTTCTCGCCTTTCTCGCCTTTCCTGCCATCTCTCCCGTCTCGTCCTGGAAGGCCGATCCGACCGTGGGGCCCCGGGGAACCGCTCGCTCCAGGGGGGCCCGGAGGCCCGGGTAAGCCAGGGATGCTACAGATATATCTCGGGGAGTAGCTGTCTCCTTTGAACTGGTTACCTCGAGGTTGTCCACTTGCACAAATGGCAAAACTTGTGACATAGAGCAAGACAAACATCTTTGGCTCTGCAAGAAAAGCACACAGACATGAATGCAGCCTCTCAGGTGGGGCTTTAGTGTAACTGAACATGAGAACGGGCATTTACAGGCAGCCACTGCAGTGCTCACCTTTCCATGGATGTAAAAAATCACTGCTCACCCTCATAATTCCATTAGAAACGATTAACCAGTTACTGATCAAGTTCTCAGTGCCCCACACAGGGTTGGCGAAAGATTGATTTTAAAAGTTTCAAAATAATCCCTTTGTTGCATATTTTCTGCAGGAATCAATGATGGACTTTGCTAAAATGTTTTCTTTTTGCCAAAGTAATGCATGGTTTTTGCAAATTGGAGATACCAATGAATAAGCTAAACATGAATATATTCTCACCACCCTAAGATAATTACTCTTTACATTAAAAAAATTATCTTTATTGTTGAAAGTATTACAGATGTCCTCTTTATTTCCGCATTGACCCCTCTACCCTGCACTCACCCCCTACCCAGCCTTCACCACACTATGGTCTGTGTCCATGGGTTGTGCATATACGCATATAACTTCTTAGGTTAATCTCTCCCTCCCGNTTATTGTTGAAAGTATTACAGATGTCCCCCTTTTTTCCCCATTGACCTCTTCTACCCTGCACCTCCCCCCTGCCCCAGGCTTTGACCACAATATTGTCTGTGTCCATGGGTTATGCATACATGCATATAAATTCTTTGGTTAATCTCTCTCCAGCCCGCCCCCCCACCTTCCCTCTGAGATTCGTCAGTCTGTTCCATGCTTCCATGTCACTGAGTCTGTTTTGATACCTACATCCTTCCAGTCCTTTTTCTATGCCATAGAGAAAAGTGATAGCGTGTCATTCCTGCCATTCTTCAACTTTTTCCACTTAACAAGATATCACGAGCATCTTGCCACGTCAAAACTGATTCATAACATTAAAAATTGTTGGATTGTCTCTGCTACCCTTTATGTACAGAATTCCCCACCATGGACATTTGTTTCCAGCTTTCTGCCAATATAAACACCACGCTAGAATCCTTCCATCGAGTCTTTGCATGCATCCCTGGTTGTTTTCGTAGAATTTCTGGGCTTTTTAAAGCAGCAGAAAGAGGTATTTTCAGGAAAACCATGTTTTTCACCAAATAATCACGTGCAATGCCAATTAGTGTTAATTGGAGTACTCTTCATGTCCTGAGGGGGGTCTCAAACTTTAATTTAAAATCTGCAGGATATAATGCCCTGCTGTCCCATTAAAGCTGTGAGCACTGGGACTCAGTTAAAGAGCTGAGTGAAATCAAAGCATGCTTAGTGCCACGTGCTCTGAGTGAAGCAGGCGACGGGTCTCTTCAGCTGTGATCTGATAGGACTTGATTTTTCCCTCCATAAAGCCTGGCAGCTGAGAATGATGGATCATTTATTGATTGATTTATTTAAATGTCTTTATTGATTTCACAGAGAGGAAGGGAGAGGGAGAGAGAGATAAAAACATCAATGATGAGAGAGTCATTGATCGGCTGCCTCCTGCACACCCCCTACTGGGAATCCATCGAGCCTGCAACCCAGGCATGTGCCCTGACAGGGAATCTAACCTCCATCTCCTGGATCATAGGTCCACGCTCAACTGCTGAGCCATGCTGTTGGGGCTGATGGACCATTTATTACCATGACATTTGGCATATGGTCTGAGGGGTGGCCAGTGTAGGCTGGGGACACCTGATTTTCTATGCTAAATGGTCTTTAGCATCAGCAGAGTCTTGGGTGGGAGAATGTATACATGTCATTCTGGGGCATGAATAAGTAGTTTTTAGGTAGTTGGGCCTCTGCTTTAATAGGAAATCTGTACGATGCTTGATATAGATGCCTGATCTATACTTACCCAAAGGAAAAAATTATACAATGTGGGAACAGCAATCAGATAAAGCTTCTTTGTTTTTTTTTTGATAGTCTCATTGGAAAATTAACCAGGCACACTATACCACTTTTATGGTACCCATGGGGAATTTGAAACATCTTGGAATTAGACCCAGAAATTTGCCAGAACAAAGGAATGACAAACTGAGAAAAACAGTGTGCACATATGGTTTGAAACAGATCTGATTCCTAGAAATCTTATTAGTAAAAAACTGAAGCAACTTATCCAAACATAGGCTCTATGTCCTTGACCAAATCTCCATGTTACCAGTGGGCCCTCCCCCCAGCATCAAGGAGAATATCCTTGCCATACCCTGTCTGTTTGATTTGTCATGTGGCACAAACTCAAAATTACTGATCCTATGGCTCAATTGGGATTAAGTCACTTTCTGAAAAGCCTAGAGGATCTGATAAAAATGTAGTCCTTTCAAACATGTCTCAGATGAAGGAAATGGAAAGAGCCTTCTAACCCCCCCCTTGCCACAATTAAAACAAGATGCAATAATTACATTGCTAGTTCTTCTTTCTTGTAAAAAACAGATCAGAGGAGGCTTTGAGAAGGGTTTTGAGAAGATGTTCATACAAGACAGTCATAAAAAGGCCTTTCAACCAGACATTGGATGGGAAGCTGTAGCTCCTAGGAGCTGGTTCTAAGAGGGACTTGACATTATCTGGAGAGAAGTCGCTTTGGGCAGTGGAATCTCAGACACTCTGATGAAGCTGACATCACAAGTTAGGGGCAAGTCTATGAGGAAGCGCGTGGTGAGGTCTAGGTTATGGTGGATGGAGAAAGCAGAAATTTTAGATGTACTTGGAAGAAAGGGTATTAATATTTCCAATAGCCAGACACCAAAGTGCTCAAAAGAGGAGTACATTAAAACAGCGGAAACAAATGCATTCATGGAACAAATGGGCTGCTTTCATTGACAAGTGCACTAGGATATTTTCTGTCTAGTAGTCTAAATGCTGGAAGAATCCTCGGTTAGAGTTTTCTGAAAGGCATTCAGAGTGATTATCCATGAACAGTCCTCATCAGAAATGAGGAACAATGGGTTGTGGTGCCTGATGCGTGATGATGGCATGGTTATGAGTGGCCGATAGAGTCTTGGGACTCAGTTTGTCAGGATGACAAAGGGGTATGGATTATAATGGGAAACTACAGTGGCATCACCCTGTAATGGTTCTTTATTTCACTTAGAAGTCAACAGCCTCATGGTAGATGGTCTACAAGGCACTACTTGGCCTGGCAGTGTACCTCCCTCTTCCCTGAATTTATCTTCTATTCTCCTTCCCACTTTCTCAGCTCCAGTCACACTGACTTTCTTGATGTTCCTCAAATAGACCAGGAATGCCTTGCCTTAGGGTCTGCACACTGTCCTTCCTCTCTCTAGAACTCTGTTCTCCAGATGTCCATATGTCTCCCTCTCTTATGTCCCTCCTCAAGTCTTTGCTGAAATGCCACCCTCTCATTAAAGCCAACTCTTACCACCTTATTGAACATTGAAATCCACCTCCTCCTACCTCCTGACCCTCGCTCATTCTGCTGATTTTTTATCTTCTCTATTGTACTTGTCCTCTAACTCATTAGATTATTTTTTATCCTTAGTGTTCTTTTTCACACCATGTACTTTATCTGCTAGAATGTAAGCTCTCTGAGGGCAGGATCTTCGAGTCTTTAACGTCTCCAATCATCTAATACAGTGTTTGGCACAATCTCAACTCAGGCTGGGGGCAGAGGAGAAGATATTTTTGGTGGAAGATATGACTTTTGTGAGAAAAAAATGAAACAAAAAACAAAACAAAAACAACAACAACCAGAGAGAATGGGATATGACAGTATTACAAGAGAAGAAGGAAGGAGAGGGTTTAGGGAGACATTCCTGAAGTCTACGGGTCCCTTCTCCAGAGTTTGAGAAATGCAAATAAAAGACTTGAATTATTTTAATTTTTTATAATCTAAAGCATTTAAAAATATTTTAAATATGTATTTTTGTATAGGTAGAACATGTACATTCATAAATTTAAAAAATAGACTATGTAATGAAAGATAAACTTCTCCTTCCTTCCAGCCCCCCAGCCCTGCAGTTTCCTTTTCTAGAGGCAGCCGCCGCTGCTAGTTTCTCGTGGGCCCTCCCTCCCCATGTTGGCCTACGGTACGCAACTTTCTGTACTTTGGTTTTCCACATGGCGCGGGGATCTTTTTGTTATCAGTGTGTATAGTGTTGCCGTTTTGTTTCTGTTTTTTAGTGGCTGTGGAATATTCATCGTATGAATGTGTCGTATTTAACTAATAGTACACTGATGGATATTTGGGATATTTTCATTCTTGTACTGTTACTAACATAGTGCAATAGTGCAATAACTATCTCTGTACAGTGCAATGGGTATTTCCATATATATATTCTTTACACATTGTTTATGACATGAGCATTAAGAAGCTTTGCCTAGTTTGCCTTTTATTTTGTTCATGTATTTAAAAAAACATTTTTATTGTGAAACCACGTTTTTGAGGTTCAATTTATTATGTTTAAAAGACCCTCCTTACTTAAAAATAACAAAGAGAATCCTCCCACTTTTCTTTAAGTTATTTTCTTGTTTTATTTGTTCATATTTAAAATTTGATCCATTAGATTTTTTTCTGATGAAATATATAAGATAGGGATCCAACTTCAGATTTCAATTTATGTGGAATAATTCCTCCTTCACCCACTGCCCCACTGGTTTGCAATGAACAGGTTATTTTTGGTGGGACTGACCTTTGCGTGTCATGGCTTTATAAAGATCACAATATTTTTTAACAGCTTTATTGAGATTTAATTTACACAGCATAAAACTGACCAACTTAAAGTATACAACTCAATGTACATCACAATCTAATTTTAGCACATTTTCAGAAAGACTCCTTATTCGCATTAGCAGTCACTTCTCATACAAAATGCTTTGAGAGATTGCATTGAATTATGCAAATTGATAGACAATGTGCTAAAATGTATTTTTCCCACCATTGTGCTTCTTTGGAGTTAGAAAATCAAAGCTCTGCAGACATTGGCCTTCTTGAACAGATCTGTCCTTGATGTTAACTGTAAATGACCTTCTATTCTACTTTTCT